AGAATCCCCAGCTGAGATCAGGACCCTAGTATGCACGGTACAAGCAGACAGGGAAAGGCAGTCCGTAGCCTGGTCAGTTCTGAGGTTGAAGTTGGTTCCTTATTCTCAGTTTCTGAGTCATGGTTCCTAGACTCTCTTTAAATTATTTAAAAATACACTGACTTAAGTTTACATTTTTAGAAATGTCATCAAATCAAAGTGATTGAACTGATAAAAAATTAAAAGAGAATTAGCAGATTAGTCAACTACTAATGAAGTAAGCAGCTGGGTTTTGATGGGTCGAACATGACAAACTAGCCTTGATTCATCCCAAGTAACAAATCTTTGTCATTAGGAACATAAGAACGGCCATACTGCATCAGACCAATAGTCCACCCAGCCCAGTATTCTGTCTGCTGACAGTGGCCGATGCCAGATGCCCCAGAGGGAGGGAACATGACAGGTAATCCTCATGTGATCCCTCCCCTGTCACCCATTTCTAGACACAGAAGCTAGGGAAACCATTCTTACTCATCCTTGCTAATAGCCATTGATGGATTTAACCTCCATGAATCTAAATAGCTCTTTTTGAACCCTGTTAAAGTCCTGGTCTTCACAACCTCCTCTGGCAAGGAGTTCCACAGGTTGACTGTGCACTGAGTGAAGAAAAACTTCCTTTTGTTTGTTGTAAACCTGCTGCCTATTAATTTCATTTGGTGACCCCTAGATCTGATATTGTGGGAATAAGTAAATAACTTTTCCTAATTCACTTTTTCCACACCAGTCATGATTTTATAGACCTCTCTCATACACCTGCCCCCTTAGGGTATGTCTATACTACCCTACTAGTTCGAACTACCATTACTCCTCATGGAATGAGGAGTAACGATAGTTCGAACTAGGAGGCCTAGTTCGAACTACCTAGTTCGTGCCCTGTGTAGCTGCGCGGCACAGGGTTCAAATGAGCAGGTTCTTAAAAATGGCGGAGCCCCGCTTATGCAAATGAAGCCCGGGAAATTCAAATCCCGGGCTTCATTTGCAAGTGCAGTATGCCTACATTACCCTGCTAGTTCGAACTAGTGGGGTAGTGTAGACATACCCTTAGTCTCCTCTTTTCTAAGCTGAAAAGTCCCAGTTTTTTTATCTCTCTTCATAGGAGACCCATTCAACCCCCTAATCATTTTGCTGCCCTTTTCGGAATCTTTTCTAAAGCCAATATATCTTTTTTGAGATGAGGTGGCTACATCTGTATGCAGTATTCCAGATGTGGGCGTACCATGGTTTCATACAGAGCCAATAGGATATTTTCTGTTTTATTCTCTATTCCTTTTTTGTTAGACAATTCTGAGGGAATTGAGACATGCCATTGGCTGACATGAACTTTTGTTACTGAACAATAATTCTGCCTCATTTCATACTGCCAGTCCACTTACTTGGTTACTCAATCAATAAATAAATTAGTCATTTACATTTTTATGCCAATCACCGACATTTGATGACATTTCTAAAAATTAATCTTACATTGATATACTTTGAATAATTCTGGCAATGACATACAAAACTGGGAAACAATGGATAGGAAGCTGGTACCACGAACAAAGAACTAGCAACAAGAAACCGACATCAGTCTAGGCTTTATAATGCAAATAGACGATCTGCGTGAAGGCAGGATAGTTATCCCCACTTAACAGAGGAGGGACCATGGCTCAGAGGGTCATTTGAAGTCACATGGCCGGTCTCTGGCTGATTTCCTTAGTCAACACAGGCAAAGGCCTTCACCAGAACTCAGCTCCATAGGTTTGGGGCTGTTGCTTGAGGAATATTCCATCTGACATACCCTCCACACAAGGCATCAAAAAAGCAAATAAAAAGCAAGCACAAATTCCCTTCCAAACTCCAGACCAGCACTTACAATGTCTCCATCTTACTGGCCACGCAATGTGTCAACGTATCTTCATTTCCCAACTTTCCAAACCAGGTGACGTGAAAGGAGACACCCTGATTGACATCGGCAGTGGCCCCACCATTTACCAGCTCCTGTCCGCCTGCGAGAACTTTAAGGAGATCGTCGCTTCCGACTACACAGACCGGAACCGCCAGGAACTTGAGAAATGGCTGAAGAAGGAGCCGGGAGCGTTTGATTGGACCCCAGTGGTGAAATACGTCTGTGAGCTGGAAGGAGACAGGTAGGGGAAGGTGACCTGGCTACTGATCATAGAATCATAGAATACTAGGACTGGAAGGGACCTCGAGAGAGCCCCCTGCCCTCATGTGGTCCCCAATGCGGTGCCTGCAGGCATCATGGTGCCCGCCGGGGCATTTATGTGCCCCCGCCAAAACATCTGGGCTGGCTCACAGAATTATAGAATCATAGAATCCCAGGGCTGGCAGAGACCTCAGGAGTCATTGAGTCCAGCCCCCTGCCCAAAGCAGGACCTATCCCATCTAAATAAACCCAGCCAGGGTTTTGTCAAGCCGAGACTTAAAACACCTCTAGGGATGGAGATTCCACTACTTCCCTAGGGAACCCAGCCCAGTGCTTCCCCACCCTCCTAGTGAAATAGTTGTTTCTAATATCCAAACTAGACCTCCCCTGCTGTAACTTGATGCTAATCAGTTGGAAGATGCAAACACAATCTGTGGTGAATACTGGAAGGCTGTGTCTAGACGGGCAAGTTTTTCCGCAAAATCATCTGCTTTTGCAGAAAAACTTGCCAGCTGTCTACACTGGCCGCTTGAATTTTCGCAAAAGCACTGACGATCTCATGTAAGATTGTCAGTTCTTTCATGTAAGATTGTCAGTGCTTTTTCAGAAATACTATGCTGCTCCCGTTTGGGCAAAAGTCTTTTTCCGAAAACCTTTTGTGCAAAAGGGCCAGTGCAGACAGCAGAGATTTGTTTTCCGCAAAAAAGCCCCTATGGCGAAAATGGTGATCGGGGCATTTTTGCAGAAAAGTGCATCTAGATTGGCCACGGACACTTTCCCGCAAAAAATACTTTTGCGGAAAAGCGTCCAGCCAATCTAGACGTGCTTTTCCGAAAATGCTTTAAACGGAAAACTCTTCCGTTAAAAGCATTTCTGGAAAATCATGCCAGTGTAGACGTAGGCAAAGGTTTTTTCTTAGCAAATAAAGAGCAGGAGGCCTGTGATTTTCAGTCCTTGAAGCGGTCTACCTAGAGTTGTCAGGAGGTCTCAACGTCACAGACTTTGGAGGGAGTTATCAGTTGATATTGGCACTTTCCCAGTCTGAAATGCACAGTGAAATATTGCTTACGTAAATTCAGGTGGTTACAGATTTTTTTAAAATATCCAAAGTTCAGATGGGGTCCAGTGAAAAAACAGCCCGAGTTTATAAGCCTGTTAGAAAAAGCTTGATGAATTCTGAGCAAAATGTGGTGGCTAAGACTTAACTGCAGTTAGCATTCCAGCTTATCTGACTTTTAAAGCATGATCTGTGGAAAGGGGAGTAAAAACAAAGTTAACGCAAGATCCTACAAATAGACATCACTCTAGCGAACGTTTTCCTTCTGATACTTGCACTGTAGCACAGAAAGACACAGTAATTGCAGAAAACCATTTGGGGTTCAGCTCTTATTGTATATGTGTCTGTCTGCAGGGGAAAGGAGGCTGAGAAAGAGGCAAAGTTAAGGAAAACCATCAAACAGGTTCTGAAATGTGACATCCACAAAAGCAACCCCATGGATCCAATCATCTTGCCTCCAGCTGACTGCTTGATCTCATCCCTGTGCTTGGAAGCTGCTAGCAAAGATCAGAACACGTACCGCCTTGCTCTGAAGAACATCAGCTCCCTGTTAAAACCTGGAGGACACTTGGTGCTGAGTGGAGATTTGGGCTGCAGTTTCTATATGGTTGGCCCTACACGGTTCTCTTGTTTGGTGCTGAGAGAGGAGTTTCTGAGGGAAGCCCTCAGTGAAACTGGCTTCAGCATTCAAGAGTTTGAGGTTCTCTTCAGGGATGATAATGTCGACGACAGTTCTGATTTCTCTGGCATGTACTTCATTCTCGCTCGCAAAGAGGAAGCGGTGTAAATCCTGGGGAGTGTGGGTAAAAGAAACCCTTCCTAAAGGAAGAGGAATAATATTAGGAATAAACATAATGAAATTCGTGCAGTTTTGTCTCCAATGTTAAACACATGAAGCATTTTGTTGTGAAATATGTGACAACTCCAGGAGCATAGAAACAGCTAAATTGCTCTTGCAGGATGAACTTAACTGAGGAATGCTTCTCAGCAGGAGGAGTCCCCACATACAATTTTGGCTGCTCATTCTAATTTCTCGATAATTTGTACGTTGGTTCTGCTTGGGTTCTTGACATTTGCCAGGGTTGCCAGAATCTTGCCAGAGACAAAAATCTGGACAGACTGCAGCCCTAGGGCTGAGAGGGGCAGTCAGCACTTAGGCTACATCTACACTATCGCTATGTCTACACTGGCGCGATCTTGCGCCAGAGCGATGCAAATGAGGCTAAGTGTGGAATTATCGCAGAGCCTCATTTGCATATCTAATGAGCCACCATTTTTGTGGAAGAGGCTCTTGTGTGAGAAGATGTCTACACTACCCCTTCTTGCGCAAGACAAACCCTCTTGCGCAATACTGGTATGCTGATTATTTTCAGGAATAACGGCATTGTGCAAGAGGGTTTTTCTTGCGCAAGAAGGAGCAGTGTAAACAGCTCCTTCTTGCGCAAGAGCCTCTTCTGCAAAATGGCAGCTCATTCGATATGCAAATGAGGCTCATTGATATTCCATGCTTAGCCTCATTTGTATAGCTCTGGCTCAAGATCGTGCCAGTGTAGACATAGCCTTGGAGTTTTCTCGGCAAAAACTATGCTAACGAGGGACTCATTTGAATGAGTTGCGATCTCATTTGCATGTTTTCTGCCGATCCGCTTTTTCCCAGGGGTTTTTTGTGCAAAAACAAACAGTGTGGACGTTTTCTTTTTGAAAAAGCCGCTTTTTCCATGAGATCCTTGTAGGGTAAACTGAGGCAGCCCTAAATGTGCTAGTAGGCCTCTAAACAGCATGACTCCATCCTAGAATTAGGCCTGGGAACACCACAGTCAGGATAAGAGCTGCAGGCAGTAAAAAGACGCTGGGCACCATAGCAAGCACATTCTAAGACACTCGGACAGAACCTCAGTTAGTAACGTAACACACTTTGCTCAAGATAACATTCATAAAATGTGCTTAACTGTCTTGCTTCATTCCTGGATAATGAGCCTGAAAACCAAGCACTGCACCAACTCAAGGCCATACCCGCCGGCTATAGAAACAACATCATTTATGCTAACTAAAATGTTCTTACTGTTTCGCTGACATGTTTTGGCTTTTGAACAGTAACTACCTGTATATTAATGAATGAGTTGTTACTTTGCAATGGGCGGAGATATTATGTAATCTTAAGTAGTTCTATTGGCTTATGTGCTCATTTCGTCTTGCTGCTAGACCTATCAAATCATTTTTCCTCCATCCACCTGCTGACTATACAACCTATTGAATTGTGTTAATTAACCAGTGTTCACCAGGGTAACTCCTGCGTGTCACTCCATCAGCTGGTGTATAATAAATCCTCCGCTTGTTTTCACCTGCATCCAGAGTGTCCTGGATTATTTCCAACAATCTTTATACCTCCAAAAAGGAGGTATATTTGAGGGGTTCTTTTTGGCATTTTCTCCCCGCTCTGGTGCATCCAATCCCAGCAGCAGGCCGCAGCAAAGTTCTTTCATTAATCAAATACATGGCCTAACATTAATGCCACCTGCTTAATATTTGGCTCTGAATCATTCCAGAATTTTTTTTACATCCTATATAATATACAAGCCCATTTTGTAAATTGTTACTGGCTTTTTACCAATACATTGAGCTAGAAATCTTGGCAAGTATTTATTTTTTGTTCTTTCTTTTTCTCAGATGCCTTGAAAACAGAATTAACCCCTCACCTCCTGCCCAACAAGGGCATCTAACAGAATGCCCACTTTACGACCCTCCCATGCCCACAGTGAATATGTTGTTTCATTGCAAGCAGCAATGTCAGCTGCACCCGGGACTGGTTCCCACAAAACTCTGGGTATATCTACACTACAGAGTTTTTCTGGAAAAACGACTGTTTTTCTTTCGAAATAAAATCGAAAGAAAAGAAGGGGTTTTTCCAGCATTGGTAATCCTCGTTCTACGAGCAAGAAGACTTTTTGCAAAGGAGCTTTTCCGGAAAAAAGCGTGTGGGGACGGGGAATAGGGAGTTCTTTCGAAAGAAGAGGAAAGAGGAAACAGCACAGGTGCTTTGGTGGCCATTCTGCCCATAGTAATCACAGCAGAAATGCAAGAGAGAGTCCAATGAATGTGGACACTATATTTCGAAAAAGCAGATCACTTTTTCAATGCACTTTTGCAGTGTGGACGCACTCTTTCGGAAGAAGTTTTTCCGGAAAATCTCTTCTGGCTGCTCTCCCTACTCCAGCGCTGGTCACCCAGACTGTGCTGCCAGTACTCCTCCATCATACCACAAGTGGCCTTTAACAGATGAGTGCCTCAGCTGCACTCATTAGATTCCCTGTCACCATTTTCCTGCAAATGGATTTTAAAGCCTATTATGCATCAGGAAAAATTTGGACACGTTCTCCCCCCCGCCGTGTAATTCATTTCACAGGCCGATTGCAGCAAGCGTCTTCTGCTTTTCTGCTTTCTGAACATTAGGAGGCATCAATGTCTACAGCTGCTCTGGAAGCAGAGTTTGTAGACAGATGGAGCTGGACAGCCGGTTTAATTGGCTTGTTTTCAAGACTGGGCGCTGCAAAGCAACGCCTGGGCCATTGCATGGGTCTGTGCAATGCCTGGTCCACTTGGCTGCTGCTGTAGTAGCATAACGCGGCAGAATGCGGGTTCACGTAGCTAACCATATATTCCCCTCCCCCCTTTTGGTTTTCCCCCTTTCAGCCTGTATGTGAATATCGCAGAGCTGTGGTCCAGCTGGTGGTGCAGCTGCAGTTCCTTTTGTCTCTCCGTGAATGGATTTTTCCGAAGGAAAGCACATTCACAGCCCTGCAGCCAGCTTGGAAACCCTACCTGTGGCTCCCAACAGTCTGACCCTGACTCTTTACGATGACCAGGTCTCTGAGGGCAGAGCCACCTCGGTGGTTCCCAGATGACGAGGCAGTCCTGGAGAGAGCCTCTCGGATCCACCTAAGACTGGAGGCTGGAGTGACAACGCAGTTGGGGTTCCCCCATTCTAAAGATGAGGCATTCATGGTGCTGGAGCGGATTCAGGGCTTGTGCTGAGGATTAGGGTGCAGGCTCTGGAATTAGGGATAAAGGGTTTGGGGTCACAGGGTCACTACACACATGGTATTGTAACAATGGACTCCACTCAACCAGTGGGGAAACTCCCAGGCTGCATCTAGACTGGCATGATTTTGCGGAAATACTTCTAACGGAAAAGTTTTTCTGTTAAAAGTATTTCCGCAAAAGCGCGTCTAGATTGGCATGGATACTTTTGCGCAAAAGCATCCATGGCCAGTCTAGATGCGATTTTGCGCAAGAAAGCCCCGATTGCCATTTTAGCCATCAGGGCTTTTTGGCGCAAAACAGTTCTTCTCTGTCTACACTGGCCCTCTTGCACAAGGATTCTTGTGCAAGAGGGCTTTTTCCCGAGCGGGAGCGGGAAAGTATTTGCGCAAGAAACACTGATTTTGTACATTACAAAGTCAGTGCTCTTGTGCAAATTCAAGCTTTTGCGCAAAATCTTGCCAGTTGAGACGCACCCGATGTGTTTACAGAAGTCTGAGCCAGGATACTTCAAACCCCTTGAAATGGGGTCCCTAGGCCCCTGGATTCCAGCCCTCTCCTCAGACTGGTTCCTCTATGATTCTAGCCCAAGACTGACTCTTCCCCCAACCCCCCAGTTACTTTGTTCAGCTTCTTCTCTTAACTTGTAGAACTTGTTTTAGCCACTGCCCTGGGGGGGGGGTAAGGCACCTCCTGCTGGGCCATGCTTACAGGCAGCTGCCAGTGGGGGTCCCCCACAGCTCACAGCCCACAGCCCAAACATAGCAACCAGCAAGGAACTTACACTCCACCACAGCCAGTTCCCCTCCTACTTGCCCCTCTCCCCCGAGACACTCACACAACACAGGCAGTGTTCCCTGTAAGCTGAGCACTTGTGCAGCCGCTCAGGAGAAATTCCAGTGCCGCCCCGCTGATTAGCAGAGCTCCTGCAGCTCGGTTTCGTGTTTCCACTGGTGGTGCACATTGCCACATGCCTCCGTGCACATAACAAAATTCACTCCTCACGCAGATGGAAAAAAATCCACCTATGGATGGAAAAGATTAGAGGGCTCGTTAAGCACAGAAGATTCGGTTGCCATCTTTTGCAATTGAACCATGTTTGGTGTTTTCTTAAAGCCCCACCTAAGGGAGCCTTCTGATGAGGTGAGAACCCCAGCTTTTTTTTGGAAAGGGGTGTGTGTGAAGCAAATATGTTTCTAGTCCCCATGGTTGTGGAAAAAACCCTGAAAAACACAGCCTGGGTGAACCCGACAGCTCAGCAAGCAAAGAAAACAACCCCAGCATGTATGATTAAGTCTCAGTTTTTAAGCCTATCGTGCCGTTTTTGGGGCCTTGTGGTGTTTCCAGGTTTGGGGCTGGCCAAACGGCTTTCTCCTGTCCTTAGGGTTTTCCAAGAGAGCCCTGCTACCCTTCCTCTCTCAAGCCATTCGCCTCATTGGGGAGTAAATGCTCCTGCCCTGCTTCCCTTTCTTCAGGACCTGGCGCACTTCCAGCCTGTCCTCTGGTGATCCTAGTCTCATGCTCCTATGCTGTCCTTCAGCCCCACCCTTCCGAGGAAAACCAGCCATATTCAAGAGCTAGCTCGCCTTATGATTGAAGAGATGGGACATAGAAGCTGAGGTACCCAGGGCCAGCCTTAGACCACATGGTGCCTCCAGAGAGGAGAGTCGTTCTATCCCATCCCTCCCCCTCACCATGTGTTAAATTTGTGAATATCTTACGGCCCCCTGAATTTAGCGCGCTGGTAGTTGTATGGGGGCACCTGCCTTTAATCCTGGGCCTGAAGGTGTGTAGCCCTGTCAGATTGCTGCCTGCACCCTGACACAGACC